GGGCCCGCGCACGGCGGGGGGGCACCGGGCTCTGCTGCCCGCGGCCCCCGCCCTGCGCGGGACACGGGGCCGGGCCGTCCCCCGGGCAGCTCCTCATGGTCCCGCAGCCCGGGGAGCGCGGCCGGCCCGGGACCCGCGGGCGGCAGCGCGGGGGACACGGAGCACCTGGGGGGGGACACGCAGCCCCCAGGGACACACGCAGCATCCGCGGGGACACGCAGCCCCTGGGGGCGCACACGCAGCCCCCAGGACATGCACAGCACCCGAGATGTGYGCGGCGCCCGCGCACGACGCGGGAGCCCCGGGGCTCAGCCACGGGCAGTTGGTCGGTGGCGGTACCGGAGCCCCCRGTGCTGCAGCCTCCTTTCCGAGGTGCCACGCAGCCTCCCCGTGCTCCGGCCTTCACTCCCAGCCCCGGGCTGCGCTCGGCCGCGGACGGGGCCGGAGCTTCCCCGGCCGTGGGGGTGTCACGGCCAGCGTGGGGGCAGTGTCGCTGCAGGGGGTGCAGACCCCAACCCGTCCTGCCCGCGGTCACTGTCCTGCACCCCCCGACCTGCCTCCTGTGCTGGCTGCTCAGCAGCCCCCCGGCCCCTCGGGCYCCCCGCCCGCCTGTTTTAGCCCAGCACCTTCCTCTCCTCTCCCTTTAACACCAAACCAGTTTGCCAGGTCCTCAAAGGGCTCGACCGCCCTTTTCCACTTCTTGCTCCATTCAACAGAGCTGTAAGAGGTAGCAGAGGAGCAGAGAAAGGGTCTCCAGGGGACGCTGGGGAACCTCACCGGTGGACCTGGAGAGCCCATGGTCACAGCACCAGCAAAAGCAGGGGCCAACCTGACTCTGTTTCTAAAGGCACTTTTTAAATGGGGCGGCGGGGCGGCAGCTGAGCCCAGGGGAGCGCAGCGCGGAGGCTGCACAGCCAGGGCAAAGGGACTTGATCAGCAGGCAGTTTACCCAGGCAGAGGGCAGGTTCTGCAGCACCTGTGGCTTTACAAGCTCGACGGCACCAAGGGCTCAACTCCAGCAAGGGTCAGACACTGGATGCAGAATTCTCCAACCACTTAAACTGATGATGATGCTAACAGTCAAATCTTTCCCTCAATGACCCTTTTTTATTACTACCTTTTTTAAACTTCTTGGGGAAGCTACCCYTATCTCCATTACCGATATCTTTGCTTCGTTTCTCACTGCACCTTTTAACTCTTCATGTCATGGATAAATTATTAAACATCCTGGGTGCCTCACTCGAGTTACAGAAAACTGCAGAGTGCTAGAGAGATACAAGTTCTGAAAATGACCATTTTCTACCATTCACCACAGGGCCCAGGCGGGCAGGGAAGGCAGCGACACGAGGCAGGGCTCTTTGCTGGTCTTTAATGTTCCTAAGAACTAGGAAAYGGAAATCAAAAATAGACTTTGCTCTTCTTGATAAAAGTAATAAAATGGTTAGCGCTGTTAAATTAATCCTTACAAAACAAAACCCAAGGAGGTTAAATAAAGCCCAGAGGCTCCRCATAAAAACCACGACGACTACAAAACAGCTGCAAAGACGTCTTTACACACCAAAGGAACGCGGCCGCCGCTCCGCGCAACAGCGTCGGCCAACACGGGACTCGTAAGTGTGGAAAGGAAACACGGATGCAATGGAAAGAAGCCCTGCGAGGAGCGCGGGGCCGTGGACACAACTATTTACACTATGGACACGGAGCGGGGCCGGCGCCGGGCCCCGGCTCTGCCCGCTCCTCCGGCCGCGGCGCCGGTGCCGCTGCGGCAGTTGCTGTCCGTCCATCAGTCCCTCCGTCGGCCTGTCCATCCTCCCCTCCGCGCCTGGCCCGGCTGCGGTCGCCCCCGCGGTGCCCGGTGCCGGAGCGGCCGCCTCTCCTGCTGCTCCCGTGGCGCTGYGTCCCGCTTCCCTGCGCCGCGCGCGGGCAGCGGCCCAGGCCTCCCCTGGCTCCAGCTCCGGCGGCCGTGCACGGGAAGCAGGTGCTGGGGGCTGCTGTGCGAGAGTCCCCCCAGGCGGGGCTGCAGCCAGCAGTCTCTGCGCCGCCCCGGGAGCCTCCTCCGGGGCCGCCGTCCCTCTGCCTCCCCCCTCGGCTCATTAGTTGGGATTAGTCTCCCGGCTGCTGCTTTGCTCTCGGCCCAGCTCCCGCTCTTTGTCTGCTGTGGAGGAGGATGAAGATGAGGAAGASGAGCTCGAGGAACTAAGGGTCCGGCCTGAGTGCTTGTAGGCTGCGACAAGCTCCTGCAGCCGCTCCGGGGTGGGCTCCCACTTGGAGAAGCCCGCGCTGTTCTGCAGGAAGAGCACGGCGGTGTTGTGCACGGCCTTGTAGTACATCTCCTCTCTGCAAGGGAAAGAGCAGCGCTCAGCGCGTGCCGAGCAGCCCCGCGCGGCCTCCCGCCGCCTCCCCACCTGCTCCTGCTCCCAGCTCTTGGGCAACCTGCTCCTTGTCCCTTGCCCTCCTAACTCTGAGGGGAAGGGCAGAGCGGGAGGCGCTGAGGGCCCCTCGCTCCCCCCGGCACAGGGCTCTTTTCAGCAGGGGCTCACCAGGCTAGAGCTAACGGGGCACAGACAACAACCACAGCACCACCTTGTGTAAACTGTTCAAATTACACTGGTACCCAGGAACACACAATTTGCAACCTTTTTAATTAAGTGAAACAGTAGTCAGGGAACAAATATATAAATCCATAGCACTCTGTATTCCTGTCTTAAAATCCAGGATGATTACAGAAAACATTTCTTCTTATCTGTCCTATTAACAGATTTCAACCTGGCATGAGCTATTCCTGACACACGTCTGTGCCTCGCATCAAAAGCACATTCCTAGCAGCACTTAGCGGCACTCTCACGACTCAAGAGACAGGCCTACTTTTTGCAGATGTGCTGGGACCCACTGCGGTACTCGTGATCAAAGGCTGGCAGGATGAGCTGGTGCCGCTTGAACTTGCTCTGTTCCATGCGGGTCAGGGCTGGTGTTGGAGGGTCCCTCCACTCGGGGATGAAGACAATAAAGGAGAGGGGCTCACTGGAAGTCTCCAGTAGTTTCTAAGTCAAAAAGAAAATGCGCTCTTTTAGCCTGGACTGAGCAGTGCTGTGTCTGACAAGGTCTATGAAACCAACACATTTCTGCTTCCCGAGCAATGAATCCAGCACTACAGTCTTTTGCCTCCTGAACTACAACCCTAGTGTGGGGATGCAGCAGTGCCGAGAAAGGCACAGCCTGCATAGTCCCACTCAGAACAGCTGCATACCTCAAAATGAGATACCATGGCATCCATCAGCTCCTCGCAGAATGGAGGATTTGCCTCAAAAGAGCCACTTATAGGGAAGAAATCCAGGCACGGGCTGGAAGAAAGAGACAAASACGTCAGTTAGAGAAGTTAGGATTTGATGAGAGCATCTTCCAAAGCATCCACATCCTCAGAAAGACAGTCGTACTCCCAGAGCCCTGCAGGACGGGGCCTGCCACTCCCTAACAGCGCAACTGTCACCAGGGACATCCTCCGTCTGGAGTCACTGCAGGTTGCCTGCTGACTCCAGCTCACTGCTTCAGGGCCCCGTTCTCCTTTTCTTCAGGACAAGGGCAAGCACCGACAGACCTACAGATCTCATCACATACGAGATCAGACCCCCTCTAACTGGACTAATGGCTCTCCTGATGGTGTCACAGGCGGCGTGTCCCCTCGCTGCCTTCAGCAGGCTTGAAGCACGTGTCCCTTTGAGCAGACAACCCACAGCCAGYGGCACCTCAACTCACAGAGCTGCCTAACTCGAGCCATTTACACGCACGCTCGCAGCCACACAGACACAGGCAAGGGCACCGTAACGTTGGACTCACCCCCTGGATCCAAAATACCCGTCTGTATCCAAGAAGGCCGAACAGTACTGTTTAAAATAGCAATTCAGGGGCGAGGCAAAGCATTCAAAACTCACTCCAAAGAGCTTGTGGAGGGCCTCGAAGACATGCACGGGAAGTGCCCCCTGCAGGCCAGTTCCTTCATACAGACCAACACCGAACATCATCTGAGGAGAGCAAACCCCGGTGAGCGATGCCTGCACTCGGCTGCGTTTCTGCTGCTCCCTTCACTGAACACGGACCCAGGGCCACACGTCCATGCACCCACTCCTCTAGGTACGCAGGGCCCCCTCTTCCTTGCTCAAATTCTTGTAGGTCCCCTGCATGTACCCAAGAATGCTTTTTAGATACTTCATCCAAATCAGGCCCCACAAGCCACCTGCCACCTTCACATATCCTCCCCACGACCCTGCGGTCCAGCCTCAGAACACGCAAATCCAAACTACGGAAGTCTTTTTTTCATAAGAATTTATCCCCACTGAGGTCTTCTTGTCAAGATCACAATTGCTGCCCAGACTGGAATCCCATCTCAAAAGAGCAGGAGCAGACAACGGACCTCGTTTAAGCCTTATTTTGCCTCAGGCTCCCAGAACCATAGGYCTCAGAGCACTGGTGGTAAGCTCAGTTCCCCAGTATTACTAGAGCTCCCTGATACATAATAACCATGGTGAGACCAGTACCTGATATCGACGAAGAAGGCACCAAACCCTGGGCAGAAACTTTTCAAAGCCAGAGTCATCAATGCAACTGTACCGATAGAGAAGCCACTGCAAGAGAAAGCCCGGCCATTAAAAGCAAGGACAGGACAGGCAAAGTCAGCAGACAAGCACATTATGACAATATCCAGGAGCCCCAAGGCGGCCAGCGCCCCATCCCACCTCGCCCTCCCTTCTCTCAAAGGACAATGGAGAAGCCCCCTGGGCGAGGGGAGCCTGCGCCYGCGCTCACCAGCTTGCTGAAGTAGTTGCGACTGACTTTGACCATCTCGCCCTTGTAGCGCACACAGGCCACGTTGTTCTCCATGTGCATCTCCACGCTGGGCAGCGGCGGCGACGGGATGGCCAGTCTCACCGGGTAGCAATACACGAGTCTGTCCTGCACTTCAGGAGCTTCCACCTCAGCTACAGAGAATGAATTAAAAAGGAACACAGGCCATTAGGACACGAGCAAGATCCCCCTTCCATCTCAAAACATGCAATGATGGGGGCTACAGAGCTCTCCCTGCAGAAACACAGCAGTTGCCTCTTGGTGTATTGTGTAGGCAGCTACCTAGGTTCAAAGCCAATTCCCCAAATCAGTTCCACGAACAGAGCGCAATAGGGATTCACTTGACAGTATTTTTCCATCTATAATACAGCAGCCCTGCAAGCAGCACCATTTCAGCATCTTCAACCATGTTTCAATGAGTAATTTGCTTTCATGACAGTTGTTATTTCAGTTTGCCCCAAATTCAAAGAACAATAAACATTCTCAGGTTGTCAGGTGCAGGAGGAAAAGGAATTTTTCTGCCACCTTATGGTTACCCATCTCAGTCAGCACCGAGTCTCAACTTCAGCAAAACAAGAGAGTTCACCGGAAAGAGCAGTAGGAAGGAATCTTGGACACAGCCRGGAGGGAAGACAAGTGGCAAAAAGCAGACAGGGGGAAGTGGAGGGAGCTGTCTGACAAAAGCAAGGATCTAAAAGAGAAAAGGACTTAACAGCAGCGGAGGCAGAAGTATGGATGTAAAATTGGAAGAGAGGACACAGAGAAAAATTCAAGAGACACGAATCCTGTGCAAGGAAAAAGTGCACAGAGATCCCTGGGATGCACAGGATTGCAGAAGGTGCTGCCAAAACGTGGCAGAGAGCACAGGGCAGGCAGAGGGCCTGGCATTAGAAAGGGAGTGGTGCTGTCCCCAGGAGTCCCTGCAGAAGCAGCGCAAGACAGAGCCGTGCTGGGAGCCCCRTTGGGTGTGCTCAGCCCCTAGGAAGCTACTGAATCCTGTTGAAGAAGGCACTAARGCTACTTGCTATTATAGCTGATAATGGCACCAGTTACGTGGTAACTGTGGCGGGCCGGGCATATCTGACTCAATTAAATGCAAGCCTGGGGACTCAGAGCTGCCCTCCCGACACATCACTGTCTAAATGGGGAGCAGCACAGACTGCATTGCCTTTACAGCAATGTCACATGCTGCACTGCTATGACTCTTCAGTTTACTGCATACCAGATATATTGTTCTCTTTGAGGATTGCAAGATGCTTCTCACGGATCCGCTTGACGTATTCGAGGGATATGTAATAAATCTTGCTGCAGATGCCTTCAACAGAGTCCTTTGCTGCAGCAGACACATGGGGCCCACACTGTTTGCGCAAGTGCTCCAGGCGGTCCTGTAGAACCAGAAAATCCCTTAAAAACCCAGAACCAGATTCCCTCGAGGTATGCAGAGTCTTCACTTACACCGCACAGAGCAAAGAGGAGCAATCGCAGCCTTCTCAAGGACCCTGTCCTGGCCCTACATGCCCCGCATGCTCTCAGTGCGCTCAGCTGCACAAAGCCAGGGATACAGACCATGTAGTCCTCCTTAGAGGCAGAGTGGTCCCGTCGCAGCCAGCTGAAGGTGTCCTCTACATTCCACTTCACCACTTTTCTGCTGTCTGGTGATGCACTCCTGCACGCAACAGAGAAGCAAGATTTTACCCACAGCTGTGCAGCAAAATATTAACCTAACAGGAAAATGGTCCACTTTGCTGCTGCCTCTGCTTTTCAAAGGCAAGCACTTTTAGGAATTTGTKACTGTGCAAAAGCTATCCTGTTAACAAGTTGTGTAGTGTTTAATCAGGCTATCTTACTCAATTCACTCGTGGCAGAATTCTTGAGAAAAATTAGACATGACTCAATAAAATACCACTATATAATGATTGCTCTTTAACAGCACTGACTGCCCAACCATTCTCACAATACCAAGGACAAACAACTTAAGAAGGAATTCCGTGTCCAGTCCTATCCATTCAGCTACCCCATGTTTGATCTTACAGTAAAATTATTACCAAGAGATCCCTCCAGGCTTATTGTTTTCCTTCAGTATGTTCCTAACCTTCTATTAACTCAGTAAGATGATGACCAGTGCTGAATAAGGTGGGTTATGGGAGTCCCTTCTAAAAACTCCTGTAAACTTCTTCTGTTTTCAAAAAGTGACAGAACTGTAAAGCTCCTACCTGGATTCAATAAGCCGTTTGGCAGCCTCAGCATACTTGAAGAGCAGTCTCTTGGCTTCCTCGCGGAACTTGATTCTGGATAACCTGAAAAAAGCACAAATTCAGAGGTATCAGTTTCAGCGCTGCCGTAACGGCGCGGAGGCCCTGGCCAGCTCCCACACTTCCCATCAAGAGCACCCTGCCACTTCGTCACGGGAAGTGAGACACAAAAGCCCAGAACGTCAGACAAATCACGGGACTGGTCCAAGACACAAAGCACAGGGAAGTGCTCTCTGAGAGCTGTACCTGATAGGAATGTCGTTCATGATTTCTCTAAACATGGAGGGAGAAACTACTGGCTCACAGTCACTAGGTAACAGAGGGTCTGTCCCTTTGTCAACSACCTTCCTCTCCAACATCCAGCGATTGAAGGACTCCCTTGGGGGGTCAATCCCTGCAGACGCACAGAAGAACCTGATTAACATGGGAGCATTAAAGAGATGCCCAGAAGCTCTGATAACGATCATCAGGCTAAAAGTCTGCTTAATGGCAAAATTCTACTGTATCACAAAATCACAATATACTAAATTATACAATGTCACAGAAAGCATAAACACGACAAAAAAAAGATGATCACAGGGAAAATAGATGTAAACCAGAAGGAGGAACATCAAAGCACAGTTGAGAAGACAAAAAAAAAGGAGGGGACCAGCAAAAATTTACCTTCTCTCTGCTGACAGAGCTCACGATAATGCTGCCGCAGCTTGAGAATAAGTTGGGATCGAAGCAGCTCCACCTCAGGATGTGGAGACAGCACTTCCGATGGTGCCTTCTGCTTAATCACTGCGTTTGTCTGAATATCCAGGTCCCAGTATACTCTACAGCAGAAGCAAATGTCATTAAGATGGCTAGACCACTAGCTAATTATCAAATGTCACTTTTAAAAACATCTCCTTGAGCTTTTTATAAGCCAGAAAACAGAACTATCAGGATTCCACCTTCCCTGAAAAGATTTTCTACAAAGATTTTTGGAAAAACTATCTGCTTCCTACTACGAAGGAAAGAACAGAAGACAAACAGAGACAACTCACTCTGACGGCCGCAGGAGAGCTGCCTGCTGTTTATCTTCGGGCGAAACACACCATGCCTTCAGAACAGAGGTTCCTGGAATACTGGGAGAGATGGGGACCGACTGGGCAGCTGGATTTCCTGGAATATCCACCTGGAAGCGAAAAATCCGAATGCCTGTATCACAAAAAGGTAAATGAGGAACCAGCCCAGTATACTGAGCAGCACATCACTGAGGACACCCAACAAACTGCTAGGGCACGTTTTGCCTGCTACCAGGACAGGTCATTAAGGACACGCAGGCCACCACCTTTCTCAGTCATAATCTGTTCTCTAGCATCTCTCAACCTCCACCTCAGGCTGCAAGACAGAATTGGTGAGCTGGCAGCAGCTGGGCCAGATGTTGTTCTTTTGTTTTCTGAAGATATCACGRTCTGAGTAATGTGAGGATGGCCTGACCTTGCACAGTTCAAAAACGAGGTCCAAGCCCCAAGTCCTGCAGGCTCGTTTGAACAAAGCCCCTGGTCACCATATTAGTTTCAGGAAGAAAGACCCACCTTGGGCTTTTTCACRCTGTTGCCACTGGGTGGAACTTCCTCAGAGAATCTCCTTTTCCTCTGCTTGCTCTCCACAGAGGTCTCCATCATTCCACCTTCCAGCGGCATAGGAGCCGCGTTCAGTCCCAGAGGGTCTGACTAAAGGGTCCAAAACATGGTACTCATTAGCTCCTCACCTCCCACTGCAGAGTCCCAAACAAAGGCAATAACCCCTCTTATCTTTCCATTCCACTGCCCCAAGTAGATGTAGATAAGGACGCTAACAGTTGACAACTGTGGAAACTTAACAGAAATGTCTTATAGGCTTCTCCCTGTAGACTTGGTTTGGGTTGTTTAAAAACAAACAAACAAACAAACAAACAAACAATCAAACAAAAACCCTTGGATGCAAAACTGCAGAACAAACGCAACAAGTTGCCCCAGTCTGTGCATTCTTTGAGCAGCGCAGCACCACATCTGGAACGTCACTACCTGGGTGTGCACCTGCACAAGGAATGCTCCGTCGGAACCAAGCGAACCTCTGGATTCAGAGAGGAGTTGGACAGCACACAGCACCCACCCACACCGAATCTCTGGTCTTCAAGAGCGCAGCATCAGCCTGTGCCAGGAGCAGCACGGCCGCCTGTGACCACCGCGTACTTACAATGACATCGTGCTGTCCCAGAACAGGCATTTCCCASAGAGACTGGTTAGTGAAGCGATTGAAATAGTAGGGGCGATTCTCCCTCTTGCTCCAGCACTTCTCCCAGCCAGCCTGCACCAGCTCATCTGAGAAGATAGGAAAAGTCAGGCCTGGMCCCGAGCAAGAGCCCTGCCCTTCAGGTCCTCGTTACTCTAACATCACACTCCGAATTAGCCTGGTAGCCTCTCATTTCACCTACTGCTCCCTGCTAGCCAAGTCCTTCCCAGTCCACACTGGGCCTTCTCAGACGCAGAAGCAGTACCTGGGAGATCCTGCACCAGCCGCATAGGTTTGGGTGAGCTGGGCTGGTTCTGGTTGGAGGTACCAGGTGAGTGACTCATCAGAGATGCCTCCTCCGCAGGGCTTCCGTGATTCTCATTGGCCATTTCTCAGCAACTGCACTAGAGAAACACATAAAATTGGGGTTAGAAAAGGAGAAATGCAAGATGCAGGCRGCTTATTCATCTGTAACAACAAAAGTTCATGCTGACAATTAAACAGAACTTGAACTGGTAGATACCAAACAGCACCTRAATCCTGAAAATACCTGTTTGCTAACCCAGATACAAACCAGCCGTGAGGGATGCTGAGCTTTAAACAGCACAAACCAGCGAGCTCAGTTGGCCAGCACTCAAAATACACAGTTTTCAGCTATATTTTTCCAAAGAGGGCAGTGCTTGATCCCATACCTCAGAATTGAGAGCATGAATAATGCAATTCTCAGAATGCAGCCTGGACATGTACCACCCTCTACCACATTCGTATTATTAGCTGCATCTGTTGCCCTCAGAGGCAGTTTAAGCCAGCGTTCATAACTTAACTTCATGCAGCCTAACCAAAGCTATTTACTAAAAGAAAAAAAACCCAACAAAACTACTATATAAAATAGCTTCAATGTTCCTCTAATAATAACTTCTGCGGTCCAGAGAACCACAGCTGGGAGTCAGAAACTCCTGGATTTTATTCCTGGGTCCCTCCCAGGCTAACTGTAATGCTTCAGAGATTATTTTAGCTCTCAGAACTCTTTCATAAGCATAACAACAGTTATGCAAACAAAGTCAGCCGAAACAGAAAGGCTCTATTTACTCATCATTAACTGCTGTCCACTGGACTTTCCCTCTCTTCCGCTTTCCCTCTCTTAGTCACCTTCTCCCCCGGGAAAGTTACTGAAACAGTCCGGCTGCTTCAGAGGCTACAGACGGCTCCTCTTGGACAGCCCTAAGGGCACGGGCAGTGAACGGGGCGGCAGGTTTGCAGGCGCTGACCTCTATTCACCCCACACACGAGCTCAGCAGCAGAAGCCCGATCCTGTCATGTTTTCATGTGGCTGAACAACCCCACAGTACTCCCTTGCAATACATTTTTAAGTCAAGACCCTGGTTTGGCTTGCACGCTGTATTAACTGGGGCGTGTTCATGCTTGCTGCTCTTCCCGTGCCTAGGGAACGTCGCTCGGCACCGGGGACAGCAGCACGGCCAGGGCTCTGCGCGCGCAGCCCCGCGCAGCGGGCAACGCTGCACAACGTTTGTTCACCAACACCTTCTGCTGAGCTCCGACCCCGCCGTGATCCCCGTGGTCATTTCGGCAGCCCGTCAGAGGCAGCAAAGTTAGCGCCGCCGCCCCGGGGAGATGCAGCAGCCCAGGGCCGCTTGTGGTTGTGCAGCGCGAGGAACCGCACGAGCCGGAGCGGTGCCAGGGTCCCGAGCCTGGAACCTGGCCACATCCTTCCTCAGGCGGTGGCTGCTCTGGGCATCTCCCCCTCACGGGTGCTGAACAACCACCGGACGGGGAGGATAGCTTCGCTTCTCCCGTTTGCAGATAACGCGGAGCAAGGGGGACACGTTATCATGTTACAAGCCCTAAGGATCGTTAAACACGTGTGTACTAAAACTTGGCAAAAAGAACACAAAGCTAACAAGGGCTTCTGACAGCGGCGGCTCTGCTTGCACGATACCAGTGTGTGGACTACGGCYGTGAGTGGAACCGGGAACCGGCACCGCACGGGGACCCGGGAGACGTCTCTGTCCCGCGGAGCGGAACCCTGTGGAGCTCACGGCGCAGGAGCAGCCGGGCAGCGACGGCRGCAGGACGGGCGGACACCAAAGAGAGCGGGAGCAGCGAGAGCGGGAGGAGCGGGACACGTGGGAGCAGGAGGAGCGGGAAGCACAGGAGCGGGATGTGTGGGACAAGCAGGAGCAGCGGGACCGTGACGCGCGGGGACGGGCGGGCAGCCTGGTGGAGGCAGCGGGGCCGCGAAGGGCAGCCCGGTGCCGCGCGGTGCTGCCGCTCGGTGCTGCCGCTGGGCGCGCGCCGCCGCGGCGGGAGCGGGCGGGGCGGGGCGGGCCGGCGGGCGGTACTCACGGTGTGGCGCTGCCTGCCGGGACGCGTGGCCGTCGCTCCGTGCTCGCCGCGCCGGGGCC